AACCGCGGCCATCCCTGCTTTCTTGTTCTAGTGGGTCTAAAAAGCAGTATCTTTTTTATTGTATTGTCATCACTCATTCGAATCACGTCGGCCATCCAAATCATTTTTAAGTATTTAATAATATCGGGTTGTTTATAAATCTTGCATACTTCAGAGTTAAATCTCCTTCTCCAGTTATTGTCTTCAATTACACCACCAAGTATACTGCGCAAAATCTCGCTCAAATATTGCGATACAATTTTCCTCCAGTTTTGTCATTGTCCAAGCATCAGAAGTATGTGTCAAGACAGGCCTGACAAGAGTTAATAAAGCATTAAATCAAAAAATACCACTTAGTGCTTAGTTCATAAAACGGAGAAGATTCAATAAGATTGATCTTTAGCAATATTTTTACTTACTTAACACAAAAATATTAATAATATTTAAAAGCAAAATATATTTTTAATTCATTGGTTTCTAAAGCGTCGCAAGTGCAACATAAAATTATTAATAGCATTTAAAAGCAAATTATAATTTACTGGATTCCAACAGATTGCAAGTGCATCCTCTTTTCCTTTGCGGATGTCAATGGGTATAAAACTGCTACCATTTTAGACGTAAAAAAAAGGAGTAAAGAGGAGAATTGTGGAAAAGAGAGAAAGAAAAAAAAAATCGGATTCAAGAGAGGAAAGTAATGAAGAGGGCAAATATAAAATTGAATAAACTCAGTACTACATAAGATATAAAGCTCCTTGGTGTCGTTAAATGGTAAATTGTTTTCAAGATTCGGAAATGCTACAATAAAACCTTCAGAAAAAAGTTAGAGTTGGGCCTTGTTTAATTTATCAGGACAGTATATTCAACAGAACATCCCGTTAGGCAAGTTCATTATAAATCACTCTTAAGATAACGATGGAAGGAAAGGAGAATCTAAAAATAGAGCAAGTTTTCCATGGACGAGAAATGAAAGTAAATCCTATTCAAAAGCAACCTTGACCTCCAAGAACGTTAAACAAATGTATTTAAATTTTTTGTCGCTTTATGTTTCAAGCAATAGACAAAGAACGATTTAAGCGAGTTGTTTTCACATTATGGGCCCTGACCTAAACCTGAGTCGATATAAATATTTTTTTTAATCAAGGATATTTTCGTTGAAATATCCACAGTAAATTTCTGATTAAATATATCAATTGCATTTTTATAGATTACCTTTATTATTTACGTGGTTTTATTGGTATATAAAATCTAATTCAACTAATGATATCCCTCACTTTGGAAACCTAAAATTTTGCTGCGTTTTAAATAATAATGAATATGTTTTTATAAACTATACTAATGTCAAAATCAAAATAGATTTTTTGGTCGTGAAATCTACCACGCAGTTAATATTGTATTGCAGTTGAAACACGTTGGAAACCCATGATTTAGCAGTGGTGGGATTCAGCTGGCACACAAGTTTCGATTTTCAATACAACAATTCGCATTAAAAAGAAAGCATAAACTGTGAAATAAATAAATATGTCTTGCATTTTCAATGTTATTTTTTTCCTTAAACACCGCGATCATACTTTAAGCTTACCCGTTTTTAAATAATTTGAATACTGTTCAGGACCATAGAAAGATGTGGACAAAAGAATTTTAACTGAATCATAACACAAATATTTGACATCCTTTTAAGTTGGTAAGGAAAAAAAATTTGTATTTTTAACTTTAGAGAGAGTTGCAATATTCTGAGATTCTATCTCGGATCTTCAAGTGTTGTCAATCAACCAGGGAAATAAGAGTACAAAGCTAAAGTTACTGGTGAAGAAATGTTGCTTTCCAATGCGTACCTTTATATTGTGGGCTTTGCAGTAGCGAGTATGCAAAATTTCTAGCAAAAAATATACTGGTATTGTTCACAAGTTTAGTAGAGACCCGCACCTGCGAAAGATTAGGGATCAAGAGAGTTTTTAGACTATTGTTTTGTAGCGAGTGTTCCCGTCAGAATGCCAAAAATAAGTCCTGGAGATTGTTTAGTAAATATCCCTGTGTCCTGGATTTACCTCGTGCTGCTACTGTAGCAATGTTAAAACTTTTGAATGGATACGATTCGATTGTCTTTGTTTCGTTTTAATTTGATGAACTCGCCTAACTGCATTTTCTGTAATTCTGATTAAGCTATGATTGCTGCTCAACTGGTTGTGTATTATTCACTAAATGACTAATAAATTGCATAGTTAAAAATATTAAAGAATCTTGTTAAATAAAACGCTAAATGCTAATATATATATTTAAGAGAAGCGTTACTAAGTATGAAATCATTCAAATATTTTTCGCAATTTGTACACACATCGATTGCGATTGTTCAGATGGTTGATCCATATTGTTTGGTGTTTGAAACTTGAAATATTAAAAAAAAACTTGGTTTGTAAATTTATTAGAAAGTATATAGGCACATTAAAAAACAACATAAAATTAAAAATTAAGTTGCTATAACAGAAATCTGCCTAGAGTTTTTATATGAAGTGGTTTCAATGGAAAAGTTGTTTTTGCAAATAGTTTGATAAATTTAAAAGCTGATTTTTCTAATTATCTCTATCTAGTTTAGCAATAATTCTTGAATAGGTCATCTCAGACCACTGTAATGCTTGGTTGCAGCTAAAAATTTTGGAGCTACTTTAATGACTGAGAAGACAGGATTGAAGTAATCCACTATAATGAAATATTTTACTTTTCAATAGAGTAGCTAAAATTTAGAATGTGAAGGTAAAAAAAAAAGGTACCTGTAATTTTTAGACACTTAATATGACTACTTATTTGTTATTATACTTTTGAAAGTTTATTGGATTTGTTTTTTACTTAAGATTTAATTCTCCCTCTTTCTAAACTTTTTTCTATTTTTGTTATTGAATATATATTCTTTATTGTTTTTATTGATATTTGTTTGCGAATAATAAGTTATAGGTAAATTTTTTATTGCCCGGTCAGAAAATATATGTGTATATTTTTGTTCAAAAAAGAAAAATAAGGAGGATGAAAAAAAATTTACTCCGAAAGATTTAGAAAAGATTGCTAGCGATTTCATAAAATATTGGTTATGCAAGTAGACTACCCGGAATAATCACGTCGTAGCTCAAGTCAAATATGGAAAAATTAAAGAATAAAAATGTACTTAAGGGACTTGCTTTTAAATTTCAGTTACGTGAGAATTATTGGATTCATAGGACACCTCGATTCAAAGGTTATAGTATTCTAGCAAGGTCCATTTCTGAGCCTTTTCAGTTATGCAAACCACAAGATTTTACCAGTTATTGTAATAAAACTGCAATCATAACCGAGGTACTAACTATAAGAAATCGCTTCATAGCACCTAACTATGGATAAAAAGTAATTTTGAGTTCAGATATAAAGGAATAATCTTGTATTGATGCTCGCCGAAAATGCAAATTATTTTTTTTTTGAAACCTGGGATTTAGGTTGTTGTATCATTTTGAACAATAATAGTGTCAACATTTAAGCTTAGCTTTCTCTTAAAATTGAGAATAAACTTAATTTAAAAAAATAAGTGGTAGAATTTTCGCTTTTTCTGAGAAAGAACCATGTATATGAATTATTAAAACTTGGTAAAGGTTTAATTTTACTTTTATTAACACAATTTATGAATAGACCCATTAAAATAGAAATTTTTTTAAAATGTAAAAAATATTTTTTAAACATTTATTTTAATTTCAAAGGTCAATAATATTTTTTTATGCTTCTAACTAGGGATGTAACAAATAGTGATTTCGCCGAATATTTGGCCAAAAAATCGGCCGAATAGCAACTTTAAAAATAAAATAAAAATATTATTAATAAATATTATGAATGATTATTTATTTATATTGTATATAATATTGTATATATGTGTGTGTATATATATGAATCCTTCCAGGATGCGCANTATATATATATATATACACATAAAGAGGAGAGAGAAAGAGAAAAAAACATAATATAATTAGAAAAATAATAAAAATTGATGGAAAAAAGTTAAGGTTCTCAGCAGGATGCATTCCTTTACGATAGCGAAAGAGACATTTCAAAATAAAGAATAATTATTCTGAGATAAAAATCACTCTTTATAATATGTCTATGCCTCTTAAAATTTTTTTAAAAAATGAAATATTAATTGAGTTTACTATGAAAAAAGAAAAAACAGAAAACAAACATACCAATATCAAGTAAAATAAAAAAAACGTGTTAAAATTAGATACACTAATCAAACAGTTAACAAAAACTGTTATAAAGTAGAAAATAAATGAAGCAAATTACATTTAAGTGCTGCCATCTATGAAAACAAAACACGTTAATAATAATTGGAAATTTTAAGAAAACATTCAAATAGGTAATATTTGCAGAGCTTAACATACAAACGTAAACTAGAAATAAACCCTGTTACTGGTTTTCTTTTCTTCATAGGGTGACATTTACTTCTTTCATAGGGATATATATATAACACACAAATAAGTATAAATTATTTTATACGCACATAAGTTTAGTAATTATTGAAAAATAATCAAAAGAAACTTAACTATGTTATTGGTATGAGGAAAAGGGGAAAAACTATAATAAAAATATTTAAGATAATAGAGATAATTAGATATTAAGATAATTAGAAATATTTAAGGTAAATAAAAAAACTAAGTAACAGCTATTTAAAAAAAAAATAATAAAACTACAAAATGCAATGTTATTATCAAGATGCCCATAAAAAGGATTATGTACAAAAACAAAACAGAAAAAAAAATAAAAATCGATCTTAATTTTTGAAAGAAAATTTTAAAGCTAAATATCTCAGTTTTCCAATTTTCCATATTTAAAAAAAAGTGAAGAATAAAGTCTAATAGTACCATCTTCATTGGCACGTCATAAGAAAAACGATTATGAAAACAAATGTTTTTTAAAAAGAAAAAGCTAGATAGAAACCAAAACAAAAATAGTTCTTAATGCTTAAACAAAAAATTTGAATGTTAAAAATCTCAATAAGACTTTCTCACATGTTCAGAAAAAGGACCATAAAAGAATCAAGTTTATTTGAAACACTCTTTATAAACTCTAACAAACAAAAAAAAAAAAGTAAAACAGAGAAAAAAAATTTCTTAGTTATGAAATAACTTTAACATTGAGAATCACACTTTTACCAGTAATCTGTCTTATCCTACAGGAAAAAAGTGACAATAAAAGAATTAAGTTCATAAGAAATGCTCTGTTAAAATGCTGTGCTATAATTAAAACTAAAAAATTCTAAATTCTTAAAAAAAAAATAAAAGAAAAAAGTGTTGAAAAAATTAAGAAACAGACTTGCCTGAATGCTATTAAAATAAAAATCAGTTGTACAAAACTTAATGTTAAGTATAAAGTGATCTAGTTTCAATTCTTCAAGTTTTGCTTTTTCATTTGTCAAAATATAAATTAACATGTTTTAGAACTTGGACAATATGTGTAAAAAACTATTTTTAATAATGGATAGTAAAAGATACGATTATAGATTATGCTTTATTAAATTTGTTCAAATTCCTCCCAATAAAACTTTGTCGAAAGTACTTTTCCAAAAAATACTTTAAGGAATATTTGTCTGAACATTTAGCCGCATATTTCGCCAAATATTCAGCAAAAGGGCTGCGGCCGAATATTCGTTATATCCCTACTTCTAATTACAAAATTGTTTCAAACTTTTTATTTGGTAGTTTATAGAGCCTTCTAATTTTTTCTGCTTTATCTGAGCTCTCATTTCAAACAATAACAAAAATTTCTGTTGGTACATTAGGCTTACATCTGCCTTCATTGAATTCTTAAACCAATCTATATTACATTTACATTATGAGACGCCATCTAGTGGCTCTGTGTTACATTTTCAATATAAGACACCATCTAGTGGCTAATAATTTTATCAGATTCTACAAATGAGAATCATATCTTGACTACTTCTTTTTCTCCTTTTTAAGAAAGAGTACCTGAAAATAGAATAAAATTAAGGCACATTATTCACCATTTTAATCTAAAAATCAATGAAATAATAAATTTATTATTATAGCCTTGTTCAATAACATAAGTTAATATTTTTGTTGGTAATATGTATATCATTTAATTTGTTAGAGTGCTGTGTAGCTAATTGTATATGTAGAAAGAAAGATTCAATACCAGTTAATTTGACCACAGATTATCACTATAAATCCTTTTTTACGAGGTCCCAGTCAGTTCATACATTAATTTCATGAAATATCAAAGGAGTTGGTATACTAACTACTATAACCAATATAAGGTAACCACCAATAAAAGTTTTTTTTTTAACCTTGAACTAAAGGTTAATTACCAACTAATTAAGTATTCATGTAGTGGAGCTTAAAAAAGCCTGATCTAAAATAACAATATGAAATATTCTGTTAGAGAGAAGCAGGATTTCTTTTCATATGTTGTAAGCAAAAAATAATAACTAGTTTTCATGCAATTTTTATAATTTGACTAATTTTAGGCAGGATGAAAAGTCATAATGTTTATTTTCCATATAATAGAACGAAAATGTGATCGAGTTGAGTAAAGGCATAGGGTTAGAGAAGCTGTCTCTACACAGAACTAATATAACCATATTCAGCTAGTGAGAGCGAACTTGGAGTAACTGAGAAAATGGTTGAGATTACTTACAGGTGTAAGGTACCAGGGATTGTCTTTACACATAGCCTATTATTTTTATACACTTAGCTAGTGAGAATTAACAAGATATAATTGAGAAAGTGCTGGTGGTGAGTAAACGCGAGAGTTGGAGTAATGTTTCCAGCACCAGTCAGAACAAGACAGGTATGATTGAGAGTAATGCAGTGATGAGTAAGGGGATAGGGTTGTAGAGGCTGACTCCTCACAGAGCCCTGCAACCCTACTCTGGCAGCGAGAATAAGCCAGAAACAAATAAGAATGTGGAGGGCATGCGTTAAGGTTCAGGGCTGTAGGGGATGTCCCTGCTCACAGCCCATACAACCCTACTCAGCTAATGAGAACAAGTCAGATATAATTGAGAAAAATGGGGCGATGAATCGGGCATCAGGTTCGAAGGGCTATCTCTACACACAATCCCATACAGCCAGGGAAAACAAAACTAGCCAAATTAAGAACATTGTTAAAAAGAAGAAAGGTGTACAGGGTGTCCCTGTACACCTTTGAAAGGGTGTCCCTGCTCACAGCCCATACAACCCTACTCAACTAATGAGAACAAGTCAGATATAATTGAGAAAAATGGGGCGATGAATCGGGCATCAGGTTCGAAGGGCTATCTCTACACACAATCCCATACAGCCAGGGAAAACAGAACTGGCCAAATTAAGAACATGGTTAAAAAGAAGAAAGGTGTACAGAGTTCACACTCTATTTCAAAATTAAAATTCAAGGATTCTTTAAAAATGATTGGTTTGAATTTTGTATATTTTCTAATCTAAAGTTAAGTATAAGATCACTGAAAGATAAAGATGAGAATAAGTCAGAAATAAAGAGATAAGAGGAAAAATATTTCAAAAACCATCTACATACATACATATATAT